CACGCATGGATGGTTGGATAGATGGATGAACGGATGGAAGCATGCATGGACAGACAGGCGTACGGATGCTTGGACAGACGGACAGAAGCACGAACGACCGGCTAGAAGCATGGATGGATGGAGGAATGGGCGAACGGACGGACGCACAGACTGTTGGGCGCATGAATAGATGGATGGACGCTTGATCACTCATGATCATTCACTCCGTGAATATGCCGTGAAAATCACTAACGCCATCTAGTTATATTATTCTCGGGTACATATACACACAACACCATCTATTCAGCAAGTCATAAACTAGAAGTGGCTACATACTACATGCAGAGGAGGGAACATCCCATGGCCTAAAGAGCTTGGCCCCTAAAATTGAGTGATGACTATACCCTTTATAACCAGCGGTTGTCCACCTTAGGTCTCCTGTAGCGCATATGTTGCACAGAAATAAGGCACACTCCCCGACTTACCACACAAGAGGTTGCCTGTTTTGAGCCTGTGCTACACTGTTTTATTCATAATGTTGCCTCCCCCCCCCCCCCCCTATCTAATGCCTTCGGGCCTTTGGGGTACATAAATAAATAAATGAATGAATAAATAAATAAATAAATAAATAAATAAATAAATAAATAAATAAATAAATAAACAACGAAGCACACGTGTGGTGGACACTGGTTTAGGGGCCGCGCATTGCAAGCTTCACTTGTTAACCATCTGTACACGGTGCTTGGCTGGTGGCTGCGTGCGTGCTGGTCGGTGATCACGATTATTTTTATCTACGACAAATGGCAGACTTCGGCCATAACAGGTCGGCTGTAAAACGGTCATTGCAATTTGCAGAAAGAATGAAGTGCTCTAGCTTGGCATGCCCCCGTACGTTCACTGGATGCTAACTGGATGCTACCTTACCCATCATTTTTTAATGACATTTTTAAATGAAATACATGAGAAAGAAGATCTTAAGAAATGGTAGAAGTCCGTGTATTGTGCGATGTCAGGGCACGTTAAACGACATCAGATGGGTGTAAATTCAGGGGCCCTCCTCTACAGAGTCCCTCATAATTATATTATGGTTTTGGGGTGTGAAACTACACATACAATACTACTAACTGGATCTTAAGGAAGTTGGTTTATTACAACGAAACCTCGTGCGATGCAATTAACGAATGGATCTGAACGCCATGCAAAGCATTGATAAAGTGCCTGCCACAGACCTCCACTCCCTCTTGTACACATCAGTGATGCCTCACCGTGGTGTTCATGAGAGTACACGTCGGTTGCGTAGTAATCACATCCACGGCCGCTGGACATCCAGTGGCCGTGCCACATCACAGCAGAGATATAGCCTGGCTGCCATTCTATTTGGGAATGGTGCCATTAGTTTCATATGTAACTGTTACAATTACCATTTTTCTCCTACGCTATATGCTGACAAGGTTTTGACGGGACTCCTGCATGGTTTATATATGCGTACTTGTGACTGCATTGTTTTCTGAATAAAATTACTCTTGGGAAAACCAGCATTAATGCACCTCGTTCTTTCAAAAGCCCTTGTTCTCGGCCCTTCACGAGAGGTCATCTTTGTAACTTTCTATATATCTTTAATTTTATTTATAGATTTTTTTTGTATTTAGGAGCGAAGCTCCATAAGGCGTAGGCTGACCGTCCCGTCGTAATCGTATGTAGCCACCTCACGTTAGTTCTTGAACCAGCCATAGAGGCCGGTACTTGTATATATCACGAAATGCATATACGCTGAAAAATGCAAATGCTATGATACTAGAGGACGTTACTTGTAGTATGATAAATAATAAGAATCACAGCATACCCATGGAGTGAAAGATGATGAGTGGGGCGAAGCATCCGTCAGTCCATCCGTGCTTCCTGCCATCCGTTCATTCTTGCTTCCGTCCATTCGTGCGTCCATCCATCCATCCGACCGTGCGTTCATTCGTTCATCCTTGCGTCCGTCTGTCGATCCATGCGTCGATCAATTCATGCATCCGTTCATGCGTCCATCCGTCCTTGCGTCTATCCGTCCTCTCGTGCGTCCATCTGTGCGTTCATCCGTCCGTCCCTGCGTTTCTCCATGCGTCCAACCGTATGTGCGTCCGTCCCTCCATTCGACCATGCGTCCATCCATCTGGCCGTCCGTCTGTGCATTTCGTCCGTACGTTCATCCGTGCGTCTGTCCATTCGTGCATCCATTCATGCGTCCATCCGTCCATCCTCTCGTGCGTTCATCCGTGCATCCGTCCGTTCATCCGTGCGTCCGTCCCCGCGTTCGTTCATGCGTCCGTCCGTGCGTCATTCAGACAGACAGACAGACAGACAGACAGACAGACAGACAGACAGACAGACAGACAGACAGACAGACAGACAGACAGACAGACAGCGGACGGACGCAGCCTGTGGATGATTCACGGTTTGCCGATAAAAAGTATAATATGCGCCAGGCGGCGGCGGTTCGCGCTCGAAGACGGAACCCCGATGTGCGAGCGCATGAGAAAATAAATAAGAATGACGTCACATGAAGACGTTGGTGATCGCGTGTTCGTTGGTGGTGCCGTACGCTAGGGGGTGTAGAAAATGAAGATCGTCCTGGAGTGCGCGCGCGTTCAAAAGGTCGGTATGTGGACAAGGCTGCAGAGCGGCGTGCGCGCAAGGCGGCGGCGGCTCGCGCTCGGAGACGGAACCCCGATGGGCGAGCGCACGAAGCAGAAGCGTGCCGTGAAGCTGCGCGGCGGCACCGACAAAATCCCGTCGCAAGAAAACGGGAGGCCGAAGCGGCACGGGAGTGGCGTGCGGACCCAGCTTCGCCCCATTCTTCATCATTCACCCGATATGCTGCAATTTTTTTTCGCACTTTATTGTCGTTTGAAATGACCGTGAGTGATGCTTGCGAGTGTTATCTAAGAATTTAAATGTGGAGGATGCTTCTGATCACGTTCTTTAACCAACTATTTCACCCCAGCATTGTTCTTCATATCCTTTTTGTTTGCTTTGCAATTTTGTATATGATATATGTGCAATTACTCGTAACAATAATTTATGCTTTGGATACTATGCTTAAATTTCAGTTACTTAAGTTTGGCTTGTATTACCAAGAAGAAAGCAACAAAAGGGAGAAGTATTACCAAGTGCGCATCCGACATTCGGCTTCAAATGTTACCGAGAGTGTTAAGTGCAGCCAACACTTCATTTAAGAAAAACGTATAGTATCGAAACTTGGTGAGCTCAACAAGACGCCCATCGGGTTTGCTAACATACCCCAGGGTAAGTCTATTAAGGAGTAAAAGCGAGGAGGAACGTAAAGAAGGAATCATTTGGGTTTTAAATATACTCAAAGCCTCCTTCGTATCTGCAAATATTTACTGTCGGTTCTTCTAGTGGTAAAATATCACGTGTCACTTCGTAAGCGTTACGGTCCAAGAGGGACATGATTCAAGGTTATATGTCTCAGAACTCAGTCTAGCACTTCCTGACATTAAGGTCCTGGAAATCTGTGCCTACTCCCAATTCCTGGTGTTCCACCGAAAATCGGAAACTTTTTCTCACCTTTTAACGGTTTGTCTGGTATTCTTTGTGATCGTGTTGTCCACGGGAGTGAAAAGCTCGACAGTAAAGCGAGCACGAAGAAAGGTAGAGGATAAGCCCAGGCCTAAAGACCAAAGAAATAAACGGCACAAGTTCAATATGCTTGTAGTAAAATTCAGGTGAGAACTTAGTTGCGGTTGAGCTATCTTTTTACTTACGTCAATTAGCAGTCCACTGATGCCGCACCCGATCATACTTCCTGAGCCCCACAGGAATTCCATTGTTGACTGGAAAAACGGAACGTGTTCCAAGTTTGTGTTTTTACATGTAGATATTTTGAAACAATGGTGCAGCAACAAATTTGTTGTTTTAGTCAGTTTTAGTTACAGTATCTCGTTTAAGTGAACCTCACAATAATTTGCTTACAATTTCTTTCGGAACACTATTAGCGTTGCCGTGGCTGCATTAGTTTCATGGCAACAAATTTTTTCTGGTTGAAAAAATGTAGTACTTTTGAATTTCAATGCGTTGATTGCATTCTGAGTTAATAAAGTAAAACATTTCGGCGACGAGTTGGAATGACTCTGTTCCAAAGTTTTCCTATATGTTTTACAAAATTTCACAGCATTACAGGCCCCACTCTCCAGATCTGCAGCACAGAAAGCAGCTAGCACAATTTATTACGTCCTACATGAGAAACCATGAAATATAAATGTCGCGCAGCTCGCGCCAACACGAAGTGCATTGTAACACAGGCAGACAACGGTCACTGTCCAGCACAGATTCAGGGGCGTATAGACGGGACATATTCAATCAGATTGGTTGACTGTGCTACGTATAATGGAAGAATTCCACGTAATGTAAGAGCGGAAAATCTAAAACTTGTTTAGCTGAGCTGCTCCTTTCAGGAGTAATTGGCAAGGTCTTTAACCGAATTGCCGAATTCGCACACAACAGAGAGCTTCAGTTTTGTAAGTGATCGTTAGGATTTGCTTTACGAGCTCATTGCGCTTGCTCAGTAGGGTGAGAGGCATTTAAGAGTTTTTTTTAAACGTACTCCGGCTATCTATCTATCTATCTATCTATCTATCTATCTATCTATCTATCTATCTATCTATCTATCTATCTATCTATCTATCTATCTATCTATCTATCTATCTATCTATCTATCTATCTATCTATCTATCTATCTATCTATCTATCTATCTATCTATCTATCTATCTATCTATCTATCTATCTATCTATCTATCTATCTATCTATCTATCTATCTATCTATCTATCTATCTATCTATCTATCTATCTATCTATCTATCTATCTATCTATCTATCTATCTATCTATCTATCTATCTGTCGTCTGTCTGTCTGTCTGTCTGTCTGTCTGTCTGTATGTATGTATGTATGTATGTATGTATGTATGTATGTATGTATGTATGTATGTATGTATGTATGTATGTATGTATGTATGTATGTATGTATGTATGTATGTATGTATGTTAGCACGTACCTGCGGGCGGGTATGACACAGGGGATTGACACTAAGTTTCTCTCTTGGAATGACCAGAACACACGTGGGTAATTTTAACGAGTGAGCATTAAGAAACACCTAACATAGACAGCGTTGACCAGAATACGTGAAGAATAAATGTCAGGAGCGTCCAAGCAGAAATCGAACATCAGCAGTCTGCGCGGCAATCAAGCATTGTATACCACAGAGCCACGCCAGGTCGCGTAACTGCTTTTCAAAGAACTTTCAATGCTCGTGAAACATCAGTTGTCGTTGCAGTGCTGACTATCTAATTTAATAAGCATTACATGAGTCCTTACGGCGTAAATGTAGCACAAAAAAAAAGAGAATGACAAGAAAGTTAACAGCACAAGCGCTTACTCACAACTGTAAGCTTAATTGCTTTCAGTTGTGAGTTGACCTTGTTCAATGGTCGGCAACAAGCTTGATAACGTCGGCACGCCCGGTTGCTTCATGAACCACAAGGTTAGGCTCGTGTCGTGTAGGGCCAGCGTCGTCTACTGCATTCTTCTGTCGTTGTGATCATGTTTACGTCGGCCAGACAGTCCGATATTTAAACATACGTCTTAGAGAGCAGCAGTCTTCCTTGCAGGAGAGAGCCCGAATCCACCTGGCCATGCACTGCGCTGAGTGCCAGTGCGATGCGCAATTCTCCGTGGTGGAGATCGTGTTCAGACACCACGATCGTACGACACGAGAATTTGTCGAGGTTTTCCATATTAATGCGAGGGCCTTCATTTCATTTCATTTTATTACCTTAAAGGTCCCCAGGAGGACATTGCATAAGAGGTGGGGTTACAAAAAACGTACAAAAAAGCCATGAATTAGCTTGAAAAATGGCTTGTGACGCTATGCATAAATGTTGATGGACAGGTGATTGCTGCAATATGGTGGGGGAGGTCATTCCAGTCTTTTGCTCCACGAAGAAAAAATGAGGCAGCAAAAGTAACGGTGCGGGAATGTTGACAGGCAACTTGAAAGACATGGCCAATGCGATATGACCTGCGAAATGGGGGGGGGGGGGGGGGAATGTAAGGTTCGATTGCAAGTGGACTGTGAAAAAGTTTATGAAACAAGCAAAGGGTGGCAATGCGGTGGCGGGAAGATAGAGGGGACAGGCCAATTTCTTCTTTTAAAGATGACACGCTAATGTGATAGGCATATGAGGAATGAATGAATCTAGTAGCACGGTTTTGAAGTGATTCGAGTGCAGTAATGAGATACGCGTGTTGTGGGCTCCAAATTGACGATGCATATTCAAGCTTGCTTCTTACGAGGGACTGATATGCTAATAATTTTACATGGCGGGGTGCGTTGCGCAGATGACGTTTTAGGAAGCCGAGAGTACGATTAGCAGCGGCGATGATAGTCCGGATGTGCTCAGCCCAAGTTAGGTCACTGCACAAAGTTAGGCCAAGGTATTTGTAGGATTGCACAAGTTGAACAGGAGTGTTAGAGATTACGTAGGAAGTGGTGAGTGGGTTATGGCGACGCTGAAACGACACAAGTTTACATTTGTTAGGATTAAGTTCCATTTGCCACCGTTCACACCAACGCTGCACTTGGTTAATGTCACTTTGGAGGCTAATTTGATCAGATACATTCGTTACTGTGTGGTACAAAACGCAGTCATCAGCAAACATGCGTATGTTACAAGTTAAGTTGATTGGTAGGTCGTTAATATATATTAGAAATAACAAGGGGCCAAGGACGGAACCCTGAGGGACACCTGATGTAACTGGAATAAAGTTGGAGAGCCGATCATTTCAATAAAGTTGGAGAGCTCATCAGTGTGTTAGTACTCCTTCTTTGGCCTTATCGGAAAATGCATCGATACTACTCAAGAAAAGGAAGTAGACCGGTGGGGAAGGGGGTGCAGGAGGTGTGTTCTTGTTTTGATTTCTTGTCTTTTCGTTGCACACGATGCGCATGCGCTAGATTTTGTTGAGTGTCAAGGTAGATGTTTCATATTTTCGAATAAGCGCTTGTGGTGTTCACTTTCTTGTCCGTGTCTTTTTTTGTGCGCTACGTTTACGCCGTAATTAATCAGCACCATCTCGCTCGCAGAGTTCATTTTGCTTCACATTGCGGCTGCATTTTCGATGGAGGCGGAAATGTTGTAGTCCCATGTGCTCAGATTTGGGTGCATGTCAAAGAACCCCAGGTGATCGAAATTTCCGGAGCCCTCCACTACGGCGTCTCTCATAATCATATGGCGGTTTTGGGACGTTAAACCCCACACATCAATCAATCAACTAATCAATCACAAAAAATATGTACTGCTGTGGTACAGCCGTCCCTTCTGGTTAACTTCAATTGAACTTAGCTGTCATGCGTTGCAGTTGATTTACGTAACAGCGTCCAAGGCTACCATACTCGCGAGCCCCAGTGCTTTATATAAGCTTATCGCTTCTGGTGTTGCTAATACTCATGTTCTTATTGGCATTGTTGCGCAAGTGCAAACAACAAGTTATATAAACATCTGCGCTTGTTCAACATATGTCTGTGCGTGTAGCATTTGTACATATATTTGGTGTCATTTCATAACGTGCAACTCATTGCTAAAATTACAACAAATTCACCTTCTCCCCACATGCTTCGCATAACGTCGATTCCAAAAGTATACGTGAGATCTGGAGAATTTCTTACGCTAATGATCTCAAGTCACATGTTTCACAATTAGCAATTATTTACACCTAGGCACATTAAAAAAAATACAAGTCGTTAAAAGTGGACCAAGCAGAACGATGCAGCAAGTTCGCACTAAGAACTACGAAATTATAATATATGGGAGTTCATGCCCCAAAACCACGTATGATTACGAGGTATGCCGTAGAGGAAGGCTCCGTAAATTTTGGCCATCCAGTGACCTTTAAAGAGCACTTAATTTGCACAGTGCGCACGCCTCTACCGTTTCGCCTTTACTGAAACGCTACCGCATAGGCCGGGATCGAACCCACGACCTTTTGGTCAGAGCACCGCAGGCACTGATCCACTGCGGCGGACAATGAAACATTTTGAGGAAGACGTCACATACAATTATGAGACCGGTGTGCGCAGGAAACTCGGCAGTGACAACTGTGTACGCCGAAACGACGTACACCGTTGAAAAGAAGCCGCCGATGATGGCGAGCACTAAAGAGAGGCCAAGGAAAGTGTTGCCGCCCGGTGACCAGTACATTGACCTGCAAGAGGAGTACAATAAGTTAACGCAGTCTACAAAAACTGGAAAGGCAGGCGCATAAGGTATCTTCAGCGTCAAATTATGCAGCAATCTGATATCTCGTAATAAGATCACGCACTACGTGATGCCAAATAGGAAAAACAAAGTTTTCCACACTCGGCGTGATGGCAACAGAGGGCGCTGAATGACACGCCCTTGTTTAATGCATCTATATACCCTATAAAGTGGACGGAGGGATGACCGTCCCCATAGTTCAGTCGTGGGCAACCGTACGCGTTATTTGAAGGTTGTAGGCAGTTCGGATCCTGCCGGTGGCAATTTATATTTCCTTCTAGTTTTGTTTCTTCACATTTTATTTACAATTACTTCAAATAACACTACCTATACGTTTCTTGGCAACATGGTCGGTCAGTTCGCATTATTATTGTGTCTAGCAACGAAAACGAGCACTTAAACTCACACTTTCTTCCTCAATTGAACATGCTATGCCATTCTTGAGGCGTTATTGCTAACAAGGCTGCTGTATGAGAGGCTTAGACGTGACGTGAACCATCGTATTGTTTGGGCGGTATATGACTTCCCTAATACAATAATAAGAAGAAAGAAAATACGACATTCGTTGTTTTGCCACGGCATATTTACTAGCGTTGGTGGACGAGACTTTGTCAGCTTTACAAAATTTGGTCCACCAGACGAAAAATTAGTGAATGAATAGTGTCAAACCAACAAACGCCTTGCACACTTTCTTCTTCGTTATATATAGCCGCTTGTGTGATTGCTTTGCCGTTGAAACTAAGCTAATCGAACGTTGCAACCAGCGGTGGCTGCTCAAGTTTCAGAAATGTATAAATAAACCTAAAGCGTCAGTATATGGCTCGTTTGTTGAATAGAAACCATTGGCTCATGGCTGCCTGTTTTGTCACTCGCTTCTATCAATAGTTTTACAATGAAAACTTCCTACTAATATCTTCATAAACAATAGCGGTGTCGCATAGGTAACTCTGGTACAGAAAGCCATTTTACGTATATGTAATGCGGACACAAAGAGCTTGTCACCAGGCACCGGAAAGCACTATGTGTTAGCGTTCACTTTTTCCGACACTGTCTCATAATTTTTATAAAGCAAAAGCCTTATCACGCATTAATCAAGTTGCCTAGTCAATGAAAACATTTATCACATTCACAAGAAATTGCAGGGTTGTCGAACGGGCAAACAAGAAATGTTTACTTCTAGTTAGGTTGTGGTTTTCCAATGTGCTACATTTTTACGCATACATACAAAGGGATCAGTGCCCAGAGTACAATTACAGCCAACTAGCATAAGTGCGCGAAAACAGGCGGAGAACTTACCCGAGAAGAATAGTAAATAGCACAAAACCAATCTGCCCTGACAAATAGCACTTTCGTGGAGAAGCAATTGCCATCTAGAAAAAAGATAACATTCTTGTAGGGGCTGAGCTTTTGTGGCTGGAAAAAGATCTCGAAAATACGAAAACATTGCATCATACTTACAAGGCGTTCATTTAGCACAGATCCTAGTAACATCGCAATTTTCGTGGCCGAGAAAAAGAATCCGTATTTCCAGGCTTTTAAACCAGCCGCAGCAGCCTTGTTATCAGAAATAGAAAAAAAAAATAATAATAGCATAGGTATCAATACAATATTTATTGCTGTGCTTAGTTTAATGTTTACGAACGTGACGTTGGAGAAGAAAAGCCACGCAGATCAGTTGCATTTACCAAGAGGTTTCTTGAAGCTAGTCGACATATTTGTCTATAGAGGCTGAAACTTACAGAGGCAGTCAAGTCTCCTTACATGCAATGATAATAAAAGCAGCGCGGAGCACATCGGAAGACACAGAATGCAGTATTATTCCTTGTAGCAATAAAGAAAGTAGTCTCTTTGCTTCTTGAGCTGGTGACGCCAATAAACAAGGTCATCAACTTTGTATTGGTGGAAATAAAAACAATTATTATTATTATTATTATTATTATTATTATTATTATTATTATTATTATTATTATTATTATTATTATTATTATTATTATTATTGTTATTATTATTATTTTTATGATCAAAAGCATAGCATGGAACAGCATGACTGGACAAAATGGCTCTGTTTTGTATTTTTCACAGCAAGAATACATGAAAGCTCGGCTAATTAATCTCGTCTACATGTTCTTAGTTTTTTCTAAGTGAAAATATCTGGCTTGCTGCTTCTGTTCAGCACTAAACTTAGGTGCTTTTATTGATAATTAAGTGACTAGTAACCGAAGTGGAAAGATCATGAGTTATATTGGCAGAATCCAGCCTTCTTTTCGCGATTGTAATGGTATATTTATCTTTCAATTATGCGTAAAGGTCACAAAAGCTTATACACCATGGTACTTGATGTTCAAACCTTAAAACTATGCGAAGAAGTTGTTCGGAAAGTTCTACGTTGCCTAGTGAGGTGTGTATGCACCATAATTTGTGCTTAAAATTTATCTCTATATAATCATCCACTAAATATTACTTATGTATATTACAATGCAAGAGTAGTTGATGCTTGGAAGCGGCACTGTATTCACTGAGTCTTGCATAGCAGAGTAGCCATGTAGAGCCGTGGGGCACGCATGCGCGTAAAATGGGCTGAGTACCGCAGCTCGCAAACACGAGCCACCGCTACACAGGCTTGATTGATGGGGCCTGTCTGGCATAGCGGAGAATAATTGCTATCGCGCGCGCGTACTACTGTTTGCCTCGTGTGTTACGTCTACCTTTTCATCGGCGCTGTTAATAAAAAAATTCTTATAAAAGAAGGGAAGTTTACACTAGCCGCGAAAAGCTAATTGAAACACCAAAGCTGGTCGATCTCTTAACGGGGCCTTCTTGGCAGATGCTATAGGTCTTTCCTTGGCGTAGTCAGAGTTGAGTCGATCCATAGCCTGTCTTAAACCCTGCTTTTGTCAAACTCCAGTGCCAGAAACTAACCTGGCTGTGGCACTCCCGTTAGAAGTAATAGAAACGAAGACCTAGCGTCGCATTCACTCGGTGGACCGGCTGAACGCACTGCAAGTTTTGACGGGGGAGGGGTGCGCAGCTGTGGCTATATGTTATTGATAAGCAACGGCGTGGAGGGTTTGTCGCGGACACCTGACGTGTTACCTCGAGCTTTACAAGCTTCTTTCTTGAAAGGCTTTTGTGGAGTTCGGTGCGTTACCACTGTACAATTACAGATGCTTATCGGCAAGGAATCTGCTGCACTAACGAAGACAGTTACCATTCAAAAAAAGCGCCTGGCCTGTGCGGAACACGCAGCACAGCCTTTCAGAGCCTTTTGTAAACGCTATTTGGGTAACTGCTACAGGCACACTTGCTGGGTATCCACTATGCCATAAATAATCATAATATTTGAGTAGTAGGCCAGCATTCACTATGCTATGCTTCGCCATTCTTCGGAAAAGCGTGGTGTCTGCTACACCCTTGCTAGGAATTTGTGCAATTTTTTAGGCAGTGGCTGACATTGATGAAGAATTATGCCTCAAGTGGCTTTGCGCCACAGTCACTAGGTGATCAAGAAGAAAATTTCTATTGGGTTGGAGCTTCGGACAACTCACTCGTTACGCAATTCGCATTGTGTGACGCCTGGTTGTTCCTTTGTTGTTCTAAAACGCTCTATTACTTGTATTAACGCGATTCCTTTCCCGACCTCAAGTCTGCCTATAAAGCCAGTTTAGAAACAAGTTCCAAGCAGCGGCGTGGCTCAGTGGCAGAATACTCGGCTGGCACGCAGTGGACCCACGTTCGAAATTTATTGTGTCCTCGATGTTTGCTATTTCCTGAGCCTTTTTCTTATTTTTGCAATACTGGTTACCGACACCAGCGGCAGTGGAGAACTACGGCGCTGGACATGACCCGCGTTCTGATTTCGTAACAGCTTTCGCTCTAAGCGTTGGTAGTCAGCATGTTGAAAAGATACTCACCAAAGGTGGGAAGTATGGTTGTATGATTGAAAAGGATGCCGACATCCATATGTGAGTGTAGATTAAAGGTAGCATCCATCGGCTTTGGCGTATCACTGCCAACACCCCTTTGGGCGCCACTGAAGCTTCCTTCTGTTTGTTGTCGTCTGCACTGTAGTTTGGGACGTCTTTCTGGCCTTCATCTGATGGGTCGGCGAAGAATGCACCATTGATGTAACCGGTAGAGTTCTTGGGTCCTGATATTCGTTGCGAGATTTCTGCAACTTCCCTCATCACGATACAATAGTTGACACCCGACGGTTTTTGGCCCCGGCGCCTGTGAACATACGTAAGCTATGTATCAAGTATCTATGACACTTCAGTGATACGAAGAATAAAAAAAGAAAAGCCTGCCCATGAAAACATTTTTACTGGTTTGAATGAATAAAGGTTAAAGCACAGATTCGATTTTCATGGTTTTCTATCTGAAGAGGTAGACAGTATATCATATTGTTGCTAATACAACGAATCTAGCCGATATAGAAAAAGATCACACAATGTAAATAATTATCAACAAGAAATGGGCGATTATCAAGATTCTAGCATTGGATATGGTCAGCGCATCTGTTTGAACTTCTCAGTAAAATATACATACAGGCGAAATCTCCGCACGACGTATATATTTTCTTAGACAATCTTCCTTGTATTGCTTTTTCTCGCGCTATTCTTCGCTATGAATAAGCACCGACTAGCTCGAGTTTGGACAATGCTACATTACAAGGACAAGAATTGTTTGTGCCGTGAACAATCTGCGTAGATGCAGCTGCCCAGCCGACACGCGCGCATCTTTTTTTTTTTTTTTTTTTTAAGAGAAACGGAAAGAGGAGAGCCTATGCTGAGCAATAAGGCAGATACTGCATGCCTGCGTGAGCAGCGCCGTATCGTGTTTCAGCGAGATGAATTCACGAATGGTGACTCGTGTTTCCGTGACATGCCACGGAAACAATTTCTTGCCTCGGTGCGTGGCACGCGTCATCTGAAAACATTTGTTGAGCTTCGAATTCGGTTTGCGAAAAACACTATATTTATGTTTATGAAGCTTCGCAGTAGATCAGTATTTTTGTACGAGAAATGTAATCGTAGGCTGCTACATGCCATTATTGTGATATGGCCCATAACAAGAAAAGCGGCATAAGTGAGGTGTGGCCAGGTGACCAATCTTCCCGTGTGGGTATGACGCGTTAGCGATGCTGACAGTTCAAAATGTTTAGCTAAGTAAACCTTTATTTTGGCGAGATAACATAAATTTGACACTAAATCGAAACAATGAATCGATCTGGACTGGCATTGGTACCCTAAAAACACTAACGACGTACTACGTGAACTTCAGCATCATATGCTATTATCATAAAATATTTGTGTAATATCATCAGATATTACTAGAGCGAGACATAAGGTTCCTTGTTTATGTGTTTAATTGAACGCCAAATTTTCTGCACCCGACGTCGCGAAAAAGTCAATCTTTCCTGTTTCGGTGATATTGGCGCAACAAAATTCACGCAAACTTTGTAATTTCGAGTATGCAGGCCTCTCAGAGGACAATACCAATTGCTACCGAATAGTGACTACCGAGTATTTGCCGCCTAAATTCATGACAATATGGTGATTGATGTGTAAATGTCAAAGTATCGTCGCCGCCTGCCTTATGCTTTTGCGTGTTTTTTTTCAAGTGGCAGTGACAAAGAGTAATTTACTGATACGAAAAGAAAAAGACTTTTTTTTTTCTGCTTACGGACTCTTTTAACTTTTATGTTCGCTATAAGCACCACGTAAAAGTCTCAAAACCACCCCGCTCTGGTGGTCCAGCGGCTAAGGGCTGCTGACCCGCAGGTCGCGGGATCGGATTCCGGGGCTGTAGCGGCTGCACTTTTGATGCAAGCAAAAATGATGCAGGCTCATGTGCTCAGATTTGTGTGCACGTTAAGGAACCCCAGGTGATCGAAATTTCCAGAGCCCTCCACTACGGTGTCTCTCGTAATCTCATTATGGTTTTGGGACACCTAACCACGCGTATTGATTTATGTCTCGAAGCAAACAAATGCAAAACAAGAACTACCGCCCTGTTATTTTCGCGTTGCCATTACGCTGCTTTTTCTTGGGTATTTCCTCTACTGACAAATGGACTTAAGTGCCCCCATTCTACACACAATTTGGATAAAGCATGACGTTTCTATATTGGGAACAAACACTGGACGAACAAAATGTTTCCCCATTCTTCTCTATGTGCCGCAAGGCGATCACCATCATAAAGAAATGTGGTAAAAAAAAAACAGAAGAAACTTTCACTGCAATGCCAGCTTTAACTGAAGCCTCCACGCCTTGAAATTAGGTGTCCTGTTCTGTTTAACCTTTCTGGCTGGCAAAAGGTCATATCGGTAAGTTCTGCAGTGAAAAAAAAAAAACACTGAATTGCACCCAAAAAAATCAGCAAAAAAACAAAAAAAAAATTACTAATAGCACTCTGAAACCAGTTGAAATAACGTGTATATGTACCGTCTGCTTACAGCAGTTAGCATTGTCATGAAATGTTCACACGCACACCTTTCTATTTCTACTCTCAGTATATGCACTGAAACATCATTTCATATATGTCAACCACTAGCTGTATATCACAAGCGCTTATCCAGTCCGGTCTCTGCTAAGAAGTCTGTCATGAAGGTGTTCGCCTTTTTTGAAGATGAATCTCTGGCGATGATCTAAGTAATTCCTTGAATGTGAGGGGCCATCTGTCCATTTATTAATTTTTGTCTTTCATTTCCGTACTTTACGCACTCCAGAAAGATATGGCGAATAGATTTTTTCGCATGACCACAGTGCCATTCTGTGGAGTTGGATCGATGTATTTTGTGCAGGAAACTGTTTGTGTATGCTCCTTCCAGTCAAAGTCTGTGGATTAACGTCTGTACGTGCCGTTGGAGATCTGTTGCTATTGAAAATTTTCTGTGTGGATCAACTTCAAAAAGTCGTGATTCCTTTGACTTACTCACTGCGCTACACATCCACCCTCCAATAATGTCTATCTATCTGAACTATATGAATACGCGAGATGCAAAACAATGTTGAAAAAGACTGTCTTCAAAGGCTCTGTGGAATTTAGTGGTATTGATGGAATTAAAACGAGAGCCCCCCTTAGGAAAGCATTTAAAGCCGATATGAAGGATTGCACACGTAGTAAAATTCCAGCATTCAAAGCACTCTATGCCAAACATACATTTCGGTGGCCGACAAATTAGCCTACCATGAAGCTGTTCCATACTCCGACAAATGACGAAAAGAAGACAAATCCTATGCCGTGGCTACTTGGATTTACATTATAAATGAGGTCTCAACCTCCATCAACACTACGCTCACGCATCATTTACAAAGGGAAATCCTGCATGAATATGCGTTTAGAATTGGAGATGCAGTTGGATAAAAAAAATGTTCCGCACATTAGGTGTGACTATTTATTGCACCTAACTCTCGATCACCAGCACGCGACAATATGTGCGTTCAGTAGTATTGCGTTGTCGAGTCAGTCCACTCACCTTCTGTTGCGTCCGTGGCAGAATTGCCGAGGCTCAGCTGCTCTTTCGTAAGCGGGAAAGAAATGGTTTCGCAGGTTGCCTCGCAGCGGTGCGCGGCAGCCGTCAACTGCGCGCCAGCACGAAAAAAGAAAACGCGTAAGCGGGAAGCACACGATCGGAAATCAGAAGCTGCTTGCCAACAGCCACTGAAACAGGTAACACGTGCGAAATTAAAGTAAAAAAAAAACAACTAAGAACAGCAGACTATGCCTACCATGGGGGATTGCTTCAATGCGAGGCACACGGTTAGGTTGTATGGAGCTTAGGTAGCGTCAAACTGGCTGCCATTATATGCGAACAATAAACGGAGGATTTGTGCCGAAAGTGGTTGTATACATGCACGCTGTCGAACAGCTGAAGTTTGCGAAGGCGGCGTTTGCGTCAGAGAGGCGAGAATTCTCGTGGAAAGTAGGAGAGAGGGTGAAGGGCACGACGCGTAGCTGGCTTTTCATTTTATGTTTTCATGCGTACGGAGCGTGCGACTATGACGGTCCGAATCCACATTAGCGTTTTTCATGAATTTCCGGAACCTGAAGGGCAACCATTGAGCAGCATGGCTGATGGGGTTCTCTCTAGCGATGGCAGCCTGTTCAAAACCGAGTCTGACGCATTCGGTCATTATAGTCGACATGGACTTCAGATGTCGTGCTCCGCAATTTACTACTAAAGTTTTTGTACCATCGCTTATTGCACATAACATTTGCATGTGAAGGCTATTCAGGCTTCGCTTATTTTGAACACTGTAGAGACAACTGTACGGGTGTAACAATACTTCTGCGTGAAAGAGACACAAACGAAAAGCAAGAGATCAACAATTAAGGCCCAGTGAAAAGTCTACTGTTATAGCTTCGCCATTGTTCACGTGGTAATGAAGTAAAAAATGATCAGTGGTTCATTATCCCATTTCATGCTGAAACACCTCCAAACAATGTTCCAGAAATTAAAATTTAGCGTTTTTTCGTATCTTTTGCCACACTGGCACAACAGTTTTTCAACTTCATAATGACGAAGTGACGATAAGTAAGAATAGTTGGTTATTCACGACTAAAAAAATATAGCAACGCAAACAATGAACGCTCATGCAGAGACAAATACCGCTTGTTTGTCTTTGTGTGTTCCTCCGTCGTTTTTCACTTTGTTATTTTACAGTTTTTCATCTTCGATACGTTAGGTCTCAAGCGCCTTCAGACGATAATGTGCTTTATTTTTACTTATCAATAACTACGTGAGCCCTAGCGGACGCTTTCAAAAATCTGTCAGGTAACAATCTGTTTTTGCATGTTTTCTCGCTTTCCAAACGTCTTCTCTTGGAAAACGTCGTGCTTCTGGTATAGGAAAAGGGTAATGCACCAATACGAGTAAAATAAGTTCTAACTTTAGGGTCCTTTGAAATATATTCACACTTCATATCTAATGAATCACAGCAGGAAATCGTAAGTTTCCGAAAAACGTGAGAAAAATTTTCTCAGTTTTGTGAAATATCGGCTTGGCCCTCCGCGGTGGCCTAGTGGCTAAGGTACTCGGCTGCTGACCCGCAAGTCGTGGGATCGATTCCCGGGGCTGTGGCAGCTGCATTTTTGATGGAGGCGAAAATGCTGTAGGCCCGCGCATTCACATTTGGGTGCACGTTAAAGTAGTCCAGGTAATCGAAATTTCCAGAGCCCAACACTACTGCGTATCTCATAATCATATGGTGGTTTTGGGACG